GGACCACATAGATCCCTGAAAAGCCCAGACTCTGGGTCACATTACCAACAGCAAAGGAGAGGAGGTTTGGAAGTCCTTAAATTCCTGGTAGCAGCAGAAAATACCCAGTCTACGAAAGCATATAAAGTGAAAACCACACTGCATTTTTCTTCAAAAGAGCATTCTTACATTGATACAACAGCGATGCCAGGTGAAAAGGTCTGTGAGAGGGGAACAAGCTCAAGCATTATTTCTCTTTATGCAATGCAAACTCATAGCCAATTCTCAGGAGTCATATAAGGAAAAAGCATTCCTCATTATAGTAATGGCTTTGCAGTCCCTAGTCTATTTCCTATTTAGCTCCCATCCTTGGGCCCTGGAGTCGAGCAATGAGTGACAAGTTATGTAGCAGGCCAGGTCCATTAACCCACTTGTACTCTATCATAAGGGCCGCAGTGGCTCAGAGGTTAAGACGCTGAGCTGCAGACTGGAAAGTCTGCAGGTCAGCAGTTCGAGACCCTAGTGCCGCGTGACGGAGTGAGCTCCCATCTCTGGCCCCAGTTCCTGCCAACTTAGCAGTTTGAAAGCAAGAAACTGCAAGTAGATAAATAGGTACCACTTCGGTGGGAAGGTAACAGAGTTCCGTGCACCTCGGCGTCTAGTCATGCTGGCCACATGATCACAGAAATGTCTTTGGACAGCGCTGGCTCTTCGGCTTGGAAACAGAGATCAGCACCGCATCCCTAGAGTCGGATTCGACTGGCTTTCGAGCAAGGGAAACCTTTACCTTTACCTAAACAGGTACTTCGTGAGAAGGTAACAGTGTTCCATGCGCCTTGGCATTTAGTCATGCTGGCCACATGACCACGTCTTCAGATGGCACTGGCTCTTCGGCTTGGAAATGGAGATTAGCACCGCCCCCTAGAGTCAGATTTGACTAGCTTTACCCCATCAAGGAGCCTCGCGGTGGCTCAAGTGGTTAAGACGCTGAACTGCAGGCTGTGGAAGGTCGGTAGTTCATGAGTTCCCGACCCGAGTTGCCGCATGACGGAGTGAGCTCCCGTCTCTAGTTCCAGCTCCTGCCAACCTAGCAGTTCGAAAGCAAGAAATTGCAAGTAGATCAATAGGTACCACTTCGGTGGGAAGGTAACAGCGTTCCGTGCGCCTTGGTGTTTAGTCATGCCGGCCACATGACCACGGAAACGTCTTCGGACAGCGCTGGCTCTTCGTTTTTGAAACGGAGATGAGCACTGCAACCCTAGAGTCGGACTCGACTGGCTTTCGAGCAAGGGAACCTTTACCTTTACCCCATCATAAGGAGGTAAGCATTTGATCCCACAAAAAAGATATGCTGAATTATCAACATTTTAAACTTTTTATAGTATTTACTCATTTAAGATAAGCCACCCTAACTATTATAAACAATGGAAAGGCAAGCTATAACCCAATAAATAACTCTGCCTTCTACCTGCTCATTTAACTAACTGACGCACCTTGATAGGTGTCCATGTAGGAAGAACATTCACCTCTACAGCAAGCTGGATAGCCGTGTTAGTCTGTCTGTAGCAGTAGAAAAGAACAAGAGTTTAGTAGCATCTTGAAGACTAACAATATTTGTGGCAGGGGAGGAGATTTTGTGAGTCATGGCTCACAAAAGCTCATACCCAGCCAGAAATTTTGTTAGCTTTTAAGGTGCTACTGGACTCTTGCTCTTTTTTACCTCTATAGCAGTGCAAGAAAAGTAATTTAACTAACCAAACCTGTGTAGTCAGAGTCCACTTATTGCAATATTTGTTATTATTAAAAGTGTTTTTTTTTAAAGACACCTTATTTATTTATTTTTAATATGTTTACCTTAACATTCTTCACGACAGCCTTGGGCGGTACATTTTCTTTCTGTGAAGGGCAAAGAATAGAAGGCTTGCTGGTGGCCTCTAAAGATGCAAAATGGAAATCAAAAGTTTCTGCGGGAGAACCGTCTCCCATATTTTCTACATCGGCAGTTTGCAGACTCATTCTGGAAAAGAAAACAAAGGCACAATTGTTTGACTTTCAAGTAACTACAGTCTTAGCCCTCTGGGCTTTGCAAAGTGGCAGAACTAAGAACATAAGAAGAGACCTGCTGGACCATGCCAGTGGTCCATCCTGTCTCACACACTGGCCAGCCATTTCCTCTAGAGGTCCAACAAAGCATAGTGGCCTCATGACACCGGGATTCAGAAGCCTACTGCCTCTGAACATGGAGGTTCCCCTTTAGTCACCGTGCCTGGTAGCCACTGACAGATGTATCCTCCATGGAATCTGTACAATCCCCTTTTAAATTTGTCTATGCATGTGGACAGCACTACATCATCGGGCAGCAAATTCCGCATTTTAATCACTCGCTGTGTGAGAAGTAATTCATTTTGTCCATCCTGAATCTACTAACCATCAGCGTTATTGGATGCCCTCAAGTTCTAATATTTTGGGAGAGGGAAGAAAAGGCTCTCTTTGGCAAGTCTCTCCACCCCAGGCATAATTTTACAAGCCTCCATCACGTCCCCTCTTTAGTTTTCTAAACCAAAAAACTCTCAAGACTCTTCAGCCTTTCCTCGCAGGGCAGGTGCTCCAACCCCCTAATCATCTTGGTTGCCCTCACCTGAAATAAAGAGCCCCACTTCACAGGAAATGGTTGCCAATCATATACAATAAGATTTCTGCTGTCAGGAACAAGGAAAGTAGTATAGGTAAGGAGCACATATTTGAGAAAAGCTAACAAAGGCTGCTTCTAAGCATGGACAGGAACAAATTCCAAGGCCTGAGGAGGCGGCAGACTTCCAGGGCAGACCTCAAGTGGAAGAAAAGGGCATCAACTGAATCAGCCTCCCGTGCACCACTTCACACGTTAATGGCTTTATTTCCAGCTCCCTTTCAGATTTCTGCAAAGCAAATCGTACCGCACTGTTTGCTCGACATCCCATCCCGTTGAACATTTTTGGCTTGCCCTTTGTGACCCACCTTGACTCTCGGCAAGAAAAGCAAGCTGTATGCATCACAAGTAAATACATTTTAAAAACTGCTCTCTCTCCAAGTTGACTAGCCCCTTGAGACGCCAGCCCAGCTTTCTGCTCCAGATCAAGATGGGTCGCCCATGTTCGTATGTCTGTAGCAGTAGAAAAGACCAAGAGTCCAGCAGCACCTTAAAGACACATTTGTGGCAGGGATGAGCTTTCATGAGTACCCGGCCACAAATTTTGTTAGCCCTTAAGGTGCTACTGGACTCTTGCTCTTTCCTATCTTTTGCTCTTACCTATCCATCCTCTATCATCTAGATTGGTTGTCACGTTAGTCTGCAGCAGTACGAAAGAGCAAGAGTCTAGTATCACTAGTTAGGGATGCCAGCCTCCGGACTAGAGAGATCAGCTCCCCTGGAGAAAATGGATGCTTTGGAGGGTGGACTCTGCGGCATTGTACCCCACTGAGGTCCCTGTCCTCTCCATGCTCCATCCCCAGATCTTCAGGCCTTTCCCACCCTGGATCTAGCAACCCGAGCCCCCCCACCATCCCCCCACTGGTGGACAGGAGGGACCTGGCAACCCTAGTTTCCTGTAGGTCCCCTCCGTAGCTAGCCCTTCTACCCAGGAGGTGAATCTGAATCTCTATAGGGAAGTATTTGCCCTTCCCTTTCCAAGACATACCAGCTCCTTCCATTGGGTGCGCTCAAATTTCATTCCCTGGAGAGAATTCTGAAATGCATCCTTGCCAAAAGTGGCAGTTTGCCAAAAGGGGCAGGGGGGGGGGGGGGGACGACTCCATTTGGTCCTTAATTTAAATCAGAAAGAGAAGGCGAACTCGACTCAACGGGACTGATTCAAAGTAACAGAGCACAAGAGCAGTGTTCTCTCTAAGCTGAGTGAGTGTGAACCAGCTCACAGTTTTTTAGCCTCCGGCTCACACGTTTTTGTCTCCGCTCGGGAAGGAGGGCTCCGGAGCAAACTAACTGATGCAGCAGCCAAACGGCTCGCTCAGAACTTTAATGCCAGCAGCTCACAAAGTAGAATTTTTGCTCACAAGGCTCCACAGCTTAGAGAGAGCATTGAACAAGAGCCGAGAAACACCTGAAAGACTAACAAACTCTGTGGAAGGGAATGAGCTTCTACAGATAACAAAACTCTTGCTTCCCCCCCTCCCTTGCTTTTTTTTCTGCTCCAGGGCTGCCAGCCCAATGCTCCCTCTAAGCTGTGGAGTCTTGCGAGCAAAAATTCTACATTGTTGAGCTTCTGGCATTAAAGTTGTGAGCGAGCGGATGTGGCTACTGCATGAATTAGTTTGCTCCAGAGCCATCCTTCCTGAACTAAGACAAAAATGTGTGAGCCGGAGGCTAAAAAGCTGTGAGCTGGCTCACACCAACTCAGCTTAGAGGGAACACCCCTCCACATCAATGCTCCCTCTAAGCTGTGGAGTCCTGTGAGCAAAAACTCTCCTTTGTTGAGCTCCTGGCATTAAAGCTGAGAGCGAGCATTTTGGCTACTACGTAAACTAGTTTGCTCTGGAGCCCTCTTTCCTGAGCGGAGAGGGGGGGGAAAAACCTGTGAGCTGGAGGCTAAGAAACAGTCAGCTGGCTCACACTAACTCAGCTTAGAGGGAACACCCCTCCACATCAATGCTCCCTCTAAGCTATGGAGTCCTGTGAGCAAAAACTCTCCTTTGTTGAGCTCCTGGCATTATAGTTGAGAGCGAGCATTTTGGCCAGAACCAACAGGACCAACTACCAACCACCACCATAGGGGTGCCGGTAGGTTTCCCTGCCCCTTACAAATATATGTGGCCATAGTTAGGGTAGTAAAATGGTGACTAGCACCGAAAATTCCAGGGATTCCCCCCGTCCGGGAGGTGGCAACGCCCACAGGGAGGCGTTAGAAGCGCCCCACCCACCCCCGCTACCGGGCGGGGAGGCGGTTCTGAGGCGGGCGGGGCCGCGTCGAGGGCGTTTCTGAGGGAGAAAGGAGCCCCTCTATCGCCGGGGGGGGGTCTGCGAAGAGATGCCGCCACAGGTGCGCCCACCGCCCGTCCCCCCCCTCACCTGCCGGCCTGCTCGCTCCTCCAACGGCAAACCCTCAGCGCCTCTTCACGATTTGAAACGGGACCTCGGCTCGGCCGGGCCAATGAGAGGCCGCCGCCTCCAGGACGTCACGAATCACGTGCCCCGGCGCCTTCTGCGGGGGCTACTGGGCATGCGCCGGGGAGTCGGGACGTGGGCGGGGACTTGGGAGCGTAGGCGGGGCTCGGAGCAAAGAACAGTGCAAACTTAAGGGGAGTTACGCCAGCCTGAGCCCATTGAAAGGCGTAACCAGGGGTCATTTCGTATCTTATTAGCGTGACTTATTTGCATATGCCACACCCCCTGGTATCACCGGAAGTGTGTCAGAAGGCAGCACCCACCGCTCAGGCTCCACTGGACGGTTCTGGATTGCTAGCTGGGGGGGGGACTTGCAGATCTGTCCTGGCAGAGAAGGGAGAGCTTGTACCTGAATAAAACTTAAAGGTGCCACTGGACTGTTTTGGACGGGGCTCTGCAGCTGGGGGGCTCTGTAGCTTACCTGGCTGCTTCTTTCTCTGACTGAGGGCTGCTGGGAGCAGGGGGTGGGGCTTGTTGCATGTGCCCGCCCCCTGGGCTCTTTACTGCCGAAGCTCTGTTACTGTGTGCTTCTGCAGGAAATGACCCCTGGTTGCCTCATGATGGAGTGAGCTCCCACCTCTAGTTCCAGCTGCTGCCAACCTAGCAGTTTGAAAGCAAGAAATTGCAAGTAGATAAATAGGTACCACTTCGGTGGGAAGGTAACAGCATTCCATGCGCCTTGGTGTTTAGTCATGCCGGCCACATGACCACGAAAATGTCTTCGGACAGCGCTGGCTCTTCGGCGTTGAAACGGAGATGAGCACCGCAACCCTAGAGTCGGACTCGACCGGCTTTCGAGCAAGGCGCTGTAAAAAAAATTATAGCGTAGTATGCCCTGCTGAGCTCAGTGGGGTTTGCTTCCAAACAAGCCTGCACAGAAGCAGTTCTGCTTCGAAATAAACCCTGGGTCAACAGCAAAATTTGCAGCAGCCCTTGGAAACTTAAGAGTTGAGGCAGGTGGCATCTTAAGAACATAAGAGAAGCCAATGTTGGATCAGGCCAATGGCCCATCCAGTCCACTACTCTGTGTCATACAGTGGCCAAAAATACCAGTTGCCCTCAGGAGGTCCACTGGTGGGGCCAGGACACTAGAAGCCCCCCCCCCCAACACTGCTGCCAACCCTAGTTGCAAACAAAGCTTGCAAAGATACCATGCAAAGGTACCAAGG